TGAGTTATAAGGTACCCTAGGAATTAGCTTGAGGAGACTCTGAATGTGCACTTGGCTGGGTTGAGCTTCATTTTGTACTTTTAAAGGATGTCAAAAGTCTCCGCCAAGTTGCTAATGTGGTTTGACCGCTACTTGCCATTCACCATGATATCGTCAACGTAAACCTCTATGGTTACTTTGATCTGCTTTTTGAACATCGTGTTAACGAGTCGTTAGTAAGTAACTCCCGCGTTCTTGAGGCCAAAGGGCATGACCTTGTAGCAGTATGTGCCTTGCTTGATCACGAATGTGGCTTTCTCCTTGTCAGGCTTATGCATGACAATCTAATTGTAGCCTGAGTATGCATCCAAGAAGCTGAGCAGCTAGTTCTTGGATGTTTAGTCAATGAACAGGTCAATTCAGGGAATCAAATAGTTTTCTTTAGGGCATGCTTTGTTGAGGTAAGTGTCTCTTTATTTGCCTTTCTTTTTTTTTTCATCACCAGTATGACGTTGGCCAACCATGCTGAGTGTGCCACTTCCTCAATGAATCCGACCTCCAGTAGTTTGTCAATCTCCGTTTCAATAATCGCTACTCTTTCGGGTGCAATGTCACATTTTCTGGATCACGGGTTTGGCAATAGGGTCGACGTGTAGCTTGTGGCAAGCTATCGCTGGATCAATGTCGGGTATGTCAGAGGGTGACTATGCGAAAACATCACGATTTTCCTTAAGGAAAACTATGAGTTCCTTCTTCTCCATCGGGCTTAGACGTGAGCCAATCCTTACCGTCTTTTCAGGCTAGTGGGGGTCAAGAATGATGTATTGTGTCCTCTTCGGGTTTTCATCCTCATTCATTTGCCAGGGCATTGTCGACCTTAACGCTATCTTCTTGACCCGTCTGCTGTGATTGTTATTTGGTAGAGGTAGAATTGTTTTTCTGTACTTCAACTGCTATTACTGGGGTGAAAGACTTCTTCTTCGAATCCTTGAGAACTTGTACAGTGCATCACCTAGACATAGCCTGGTCACTTTTGATCTCTCTGACTGCTCATTCCGGGATGTGAAATCAGATTTTCTGATACTCGATCGAGGTTACAACTTCAATAGCCAAGGTCGGCCCAGAATCTTGTTATAGGGGATAGGTCGCTGACAATCATGAAGGTCTGCGATGAGACAGTTGGAGGGCTAGTTACGTCGAGCGTTATTGTGCCAATGGCAGTTGAGGTAAGTCAATTAAATCTAGTCAAGATCTTCGCTTTGTGTTTAATTGTGCTTTCCAGGCCCATCTTCTAGATGACTGACAATTGTAGAATATTGACTGAGCTGTCATTGTCCACCATAATTCTATCAACAATGAAATGGGCCTGTTGAACAGAAATCACTAAGGTGTCATCGTGAGGAAAGTCTACTCCCTCAACATTTTGCTCAATGAAGCCAATGATCGGTCCAGGTACAACATCTATGGCTTAAACTTGAAAGACTGATCTCGTCTGCTGGATCTTCCTCTTCTTAGAAATGTTAGTGGGCCCCATATGCTCGAATTTAGCAAAGATGCCATTGATTCGGATTGTCTTCGTTGGGGGTTAGGCATCGACGTATGCTTCTCGCCTTGGCCAGGCAGCTAGCCTATCGACTGGCCTATGTGATGCAGTCTTTCAAGTGCCTCTCAAGGTACTTCATCCATATGATGGAGTCATTGGTTGCGTGCCTCGAACCTCTGTGGAATGCACAGTATTTCGTCTGGTCCATCTTGGAAGTATTTCTTTTCATGGGCTGCAGCATTTTGAACCACGACTTGTCTTTAAGGTAGCGAATGATCTAGTTAATAGAGACTAAGAACTTGGTGTACACCTTGGACGTCGAGCCTCCTTTTGTCGGGGATTAGTCCTTAAGTCTGCTTCCTAGCTTGTTTTTGTCATTGAGCGGTTTATTGTCCGCTTTCTTCTGAGCTGGCTCCGTGTCTTTGCACGGCAACTCGAGCTACTTCTGGGAGGGCTTAGCTTTATCCCAGAGGGAGTGTTTTTCTACCAAAGCATAAGAATCTGCCAAGGTCAAGTTCTCGCCCATGATTAGTTCTCCGGAAAGTGGGTGATCTATTGGGAGCCTTTTATGTAAGGCTGAGCTTGCAATGCTATCGTCGCAGCTGATGATCTTTGCTTTCTCTGTCTTAAATCTCTTGACGTACGTGCGAAGTAACTCCTTCAGGTCCTTTTTATGTTGAAGAGGTGATTAAACTTTTTCTTTTTTGAGCGGTATGACGAATATTCCTTAGTGAAAATCAAGGAAAGTTCTTTAAAGTTTCGGATTAAGCGTTTTGGTAAGGTGTGGAACCAGTCTTGCGCCTCGCCTTGGAGCGTCGTGGCAAAGATTTTGCACATAAGAGTGTCATTGTTGCTGTAGAAGGTCATAACACTTCAGTAGTGCATCAGATGCTTGTCCAAATCTTCATCTCCTTTGAATAAGGTGAAATATGGTAGGCTAAACTTTCGTGGTGGCTTCATCTGCTCAATCTCGTTTGCAAAACAGTGACCTACTTATGTTGGCCATGTTTCTATGAAGGGCATCATCGGTAATCTTAATGATCTGGAATTTGCGTAGATGCTCTGCTACGAGCTTTTGTACTTTCTTTGGCTATCCCTATTGTTGACATGTTGGTCTATATTGCTCTTCTGCATGTCCTTCTCGTCCGTACTAAGGTCATGGTGCACGTAGTTCATTCTATGTTGCTCGTCATAGTTCTTGGCAGGGTCTGTCAATGGAACTCGAGCTAGACTAATTTTGTGCTCTACCTAGTTCGTCATATGGCTGCCTACTCCAGTGCCTCATAAGAGGATCTCCTTGTCGGCCTAGCCCTGTGCGAATGCTTTACCTGGAATGTCTGGAGTGCTTTTAAGAGTGTGGACCTAACCTTGAATGCATATTGACTTGTTAGCTAAGTTGGGAATGAACAATTCTCTAAGCAGTAAAATGGGAGAAGACATTTTTCCAAGGGCCCAAAGGAGAGTGCACACTACCCGAACGCACAGCTCATGGTGGGCTGAGCGGCTATTTGCCTATACATCGCTGGAATAAGTCACGATCATCTGCCCTTGTCTTGCTTTGGGACTTCTTCTGGGGCACACTGTGCCTCAATGCTTGTAAGGAGCTGGTACACCAGAGTGGTTTGCTACGCGTGGGCACTAGTCAAATTGGTGACATGCTGAGGCAAGTTATGCTCGCCATTTGGGTTGGAAGAGTCTGCATGGTGGGCATCTCCATGTGTAGTGGAAGTGTAGTGGAATGCATGTACAAAGCTTAAGCCCAAAGTGGGCATTCATGCAGAAAAATGGGGTGAAAATAACTCTGGGTCGATCGTAGAACCGGTGGCCAAAATTGGAATTGCCTGAAGTGGGCTTGGATTGGATTGGGCCGCGGGCTGGGTCGTCGAAGCGAGTCGCGAGGTGAGCCAACTCGGTTGGGTAGACATAGCACATGCAGGGGCGCACTGGGCTTGTGTGTATGGCAACTAGCCTTGCGCCTGTATTATGGGCTGGGCCGGTGCTTGCTTCTTGCGAGCTTGGGCCTAGCTAGCAGCAGCTGCTGCGGCTTGGGCTCGGCTCAGTTCTCGGCCCTAGGCCAGCTGTGGTAGCTGTAGTAGGCTGGGCCTTCTGGTAATAGCCTATCGGTGCCCTAGCATTGCAATGGGCTGCTGCAGCGCCCTCCTGGGCCTCGATTTGGGCCTCTGCTATTGCGGTGGTCTTTGTTGTAGCCTGCAAAATGGTGGCCATGACTGTGGTGTGGCTCCTCACGTCGTCGTGTTGAATCTTGGGGATCGCCGTCGTGGGGCTACATCCTCATCTAGGATCTCTAGTCCAAATCCTTGTACGTATGGGGTTTTGTTCGCCGTGGTTTCCAAATTTCCTACCATTGTATCCTTTCTCCAAGGATTGATCAAGAAATTTTTCTAGGAAAAATTAATTGATATGACGTGTGAGAAATTCAACGTATCAGAAAATTCAAAAAACCAAGTGCAAAAGGTTTCTTCGAGTATTTGAATCAGCTCTCAATGAAAGCACCAATTTGTCAATGCAAATTTCCGCCGTCTCTACCTTTGATGAAAATGCACCTACAAAACAATCAACACCTTTGATTAGGGACCTAAGCCTCACACGCCCACGAGGTTGGGGGGGGGGGGGTGGGCTAGGTCAACAGACCTCCGATGCCTAAGTTAGTTTCTCTAAAAAAGAGTAAGTGTTTAGGGCTTTTAGGGATAGCAAAAGCTTACCAAAATTTGGTAGAATTGGGAGTATATATGGGGTTTTACCCTACACATGGTGGCATCCTATTGGCCAAGGTTTTATGGAGAAATATTCTCAAGATATTAAATAGGAGATAATATCTTGAGATAATGGAGTAAATATCCCTAATTGACTTAAAATATGGATTACTTACTTGAATGGAGTCAATCTTCAATTGGGAATGTATTAAAGATAGGATTTGGGTAATTAATCTTTATCTTTAATGCTTTGACTTTTCCTTGTCAAGGGCATGAGAGCTATGAGTAGTCGTATTCAATTGTGGGCGTATTCAGCTGCAGGGACCTTCAGGGGTCCGAGCTGTGCATGGGATTATCTAAGGAGCCTACCCATTTAATGAGGTCAATCTTATTTTTCTTAAGTTAAAGTCTACATGTCGCCTCTAGAATTTTTGAGATTATTTTAAGCTCCGCATTACTCTTTTAATTTGTTTGGTTTTGCTCTTTTGAATCGTTGATAGATTTGTGCAGATGAGTTGAGTTTAAGACTCAAGCTTGAAGTGACGAGGGTAAAAGTCCAACAAAAGAAAAATCAAGTTTAGTTCAAATCCAAACTTAATAGAACTGATCATACTGACCCGAACCGAACCAATTATTTGTATTTTATTCAAGTCAATTTTAGTTTTGGAGTCGAGCGTTTCAGTTACCAAAATCCCTGTATCCAAACAAGCACACGTGAAAGTTCAAATCCAAACTTAATAGAACTGATCATACTGACCCGAACCGAACCAATTATTTGTATTTTATTCAAGTCAATTTTAATTTTGAAGTCGAGCGTTTCAGTTACCAAAATCCCTGTATCCAAACATGCACACGTGAAAGTTGTTATTTTATCACCGTTGTGTGAGTGAATTTAGATTCCGTTTTTCAGCGTAGCCGTCGGCCCTATATGTGGGCAAGGTTGGTGCCAGTACCTTGCTTTCTCCTTGTCTTCTGTTTCTTTCCCGTTCTATTTTCTGCAATAATCCTAGTCCCGGTTCCATGTCGACCTTATCTTCACATCTCATCGTCTTTCTACTTTTCTTGCCTCTGATTCCAACTACTTGAGTCCTAGATCCTGGTCACCTGTTTCCTCTACCATCTCCATCAATTGGCTCCATTATAATTCCACTAATCCTCAATTCGATTTGGTTATTCTGTGATTTTTCGCATTTATATGAGAGGGTGCATAGAGCTTTGGCTTGAATGTTCGCACCACCACTTTTGTTGACCCTTATTGGTTCTCCCTGGTGTTTGCGTTCGTTGGTCATTTCACTTGTGGGAACTTTTTTCTCGCCTACTTCCTTTGTTTCATAGTGGCGTTCGTTTTGGTGGTCTGTAGAGTACGGTGCGGCCCATGTCTTCCTCAATTTTGGAATTTGTATGGTGTGATGACAAGCGTTGTTGGTGGGCGACAGCTGGTGTGCTTCGTTCTTGTAACCTATATCAAATATATACAGGGTACTATAGCGGACGTAACATAATTTTAAGGGTGAACCACTTAAATTTGGTTGTCAATGACTTAAAATTTTTACCCTAATCCCATCAAAGGTTGACTGTACTAATCTTTGTTGACCTCCCAGTTTTGAGCATTAACAACCACAACAATGTACGCGAAGATAACTTAGGCAGAATCTTATAATTCGTAAAGCATAAAATTGAGTTCATACATCATCATCATGATTTCATGAAATCAAGGCTGAAAAAAATATGAAATGGAAACCGTGTTAAAATGTTACTTGGATTGCGTTCTGAGGATTTTGAACTAATTTGTAGCAAAAAATAACCTTTATATTATGTAACAATATTAGGAGCGTACTATTAACATGTTGTGGCCTATTTCACTTAAGGGAAGACGGAGGATGCAATGACAATAGTGGAGAAACAGGCTTAAGAAAATTGTAGTGTGTTTTTCTTGTGCCAGTACCTTTACTTATAGTAAACAATAAGGAGAGATAAACTTGCTCCCAAAACTACAAATTCTAATAATAAAGAACCATCTATGATTATATAAAAATCATAATCCAAAATCATTAAAATATATTTAAGTATCTTTTTATTTTGTTTTTGGTCAAATAGATAACTTTCATTAATAAAAACTAATACAAGAAATGGAAGGCCCAAAGAACAATCCAAATACAAGCACAAGCCAAAAGTAAGTACAACTGAAAAGCCTATAAAGAGCAAGCCTACAACAACAAAAATCCTAGATCTCGAAGAGTGCAAACTCCACCACGCTAGCTGCGCCGCCATGGCCAATCTGTCACCACCACCAAGAGAAAAAAACCCAAGAACAAACTGGATGAATGGAAAATGGGGTTGAACAAGCCACCCACGCAAAAAGCACTACCATAATCCTAGTGCTAAACACACGTTAGCAACCACCCAACACCAAGGTGTGCTACCGAAGGGAGACACGTGATAGGGAAGTTGAGACAAGGCTCAAGGAAGTTAGAAAATAAAGGAAAGAATGCAAGGAAAGAAATGCAGGGAAATAAAGGGTAAGTAGAAATGAAAAGGAAAAGAAAACAAGGGAAGAAGAGGAGGACCTTGGCCAAGGAGAGAAGGATAGAGTTGAGAAGCAAATCCCAGGAAAGATGGGGAAGGAAGAAAAAAAACAGAGGGGATGGGTAGACCTGGTAATTTTTTAAGCGACCTGTTAACATGATACGTAAACGACACAAAAATAACAGGTTTCAGGTCGACATGATAAGAATCCGTTAATAACAAGTCCTTAATAGGTTCACACGAGAGTGACACACGAGTAACCCGCTTTAACACGTTAAGAAAAATGTTATTTTGATGATTTTAATTTTTTAAACAACTAAAAAAACTTACTATAAAATACCATAGCCTTAGTGTATATGTATATATTGCATATTAAATATGTAAGTTTGTATTATTATTCTACATAAATTTAAAAAAAATTAAGTTTCATTCATTTACTTATTTTTATAGTATATTGCAGGCAAAGAGTGACACTAAAAAATTATAAACACATTAAAAAAATAAAAATATCAAGTAATTTAAAAATACAAACACATTAAAAAATTATAATAATTAATTTACAAGTGTGAAAAATGTAAAAAAATTGGAAAACGCTCGTGATTGCATCCTCTACGCTTTGAGGATGGGTACATCGCCTTTTGAATTTTTAGAACCATACAAACTCTCATGAATAGTATTTTTAAAGGGAGTTTAAAATAAATAAAATTCATAATCATTAATGTACAAGTCTAGAAAATGTGAAAGCATATATAAATACTCGTGATTGCATACTCCACCTTGAAACGCAACTCCCTTCATTTTGCTTATCCTTGGACATTTGATATTTTGTAGTAATATACTAATGTTTTTTCATTATGTTTTTGTTTTGGGGTATGTAATACATGAGAGACAAATGTTTTTATTTATTTTTATATTTTGAGGTAAATATACTAATTTAGTATTATGACTAGCTAGGCTACCACTGCGTTGCTGCGGTGTTGTACTGTTTTATACCTTTATTCTGCATAGTGGGTGGAGCATCTATCTATTTTCTTTCTTGTGGGACAACAAAGAACATAGATAGATGTTAGGTTTTTAAATTGAATTTATTCTTCACATTTCTATTAAAATGCAACAGGAAAGAAATTGTAAACCTTTAGTGTTTCACCGAAAAGAATGTAATGAATTTATCCATTGGATAAATGTCAAGGTATTCAAGATTTTTCATTGAAAAATTGACACAGTTTAAAGGCATTACTCTACACATGCTTTGCAAGTAATGAAAACCTGACCAAGTTGATATCAATCACAAATCCAAATGAATGTTAAATAATGAAGCAAAACACTTAAAACGAATATGGTTTAACAGGTTTAAAAACTCTGTGCTAAACCTAATCATGAAGGAAAAGATGCTGTGAAAAAAATAGGTAAAAACTAAGGAGAAGCAGAAAAAAAAGAGGTGAATAGTTTGTGTTCCATGTGAGGTTTATGGGTCGATGGAATTTTTGTGTACTGAACAATGGGATCAATTAAATTTTGGTTCTCGTGTTTTAAGACCAATCCCACCTCAAAAAATAAGAGTAAATTTGTATTGATGCCACAATGATAAAAATGGATAAGTTATATACATGGATGGTTACAGAGTTATGGGCTGATCTCGTTTATGAAGAAAATAAGAAAAACTTAAATATTGACAAAAAAAAATGAAGATTTTTTTATGCTGTAAGTGACCGTATTATTATCTATTGAATAAAGGTTTTTTTTAGAAATGCAAAAGGAAAAAAATGTTGAAAACGAAATTAAAAGTTGAGAGTGATCAATGTTATACCTTGAAGACAGCAAATAGACACAGTTCTTTCAGATTGATTCCAATTTGGCTGTACGAAACTGAAACAGATCAAATTGTAAACATTTTGCACCAAGGATTGGATATGGAGAGACATAAATACTGTTTCCAATGAATAAAAGTGAGTGCAAATATAATCGTTTCACATACGATAAGGCAGGGAAAACGACGGTCAACATATTGGGATTTGATGATCATATGTTAAGAACAATCGATAACGGTGATTAATACAACATTGCAGATGCTAGTGGTTAAGATTGAAACAGAGGTAAAACATACCGATGCTAAATTTGATTTTAAAGGTTGGTAACAATCATGGAACTATTCTAGATATGATTGTAGCCCATGATGAAGTTACTTTTATAATTATTTACTGGCTAACATTGCATTCATGGTATAGTTGAAGGCTTTATACGTTTCTAGCGCCAATTAAGTTTGGTTCCAATGCGTATAGAACGAAAATAAAATGTTGGGGTTAACATTGATCAATTTAAAGATTAAACTAGCTACAACAGTTTAAAACCAAAGATATCACTTGAGAATAGATTGGGCTATCAGATTATCCAACGAAAGATTATAAATTGAGGACAATGGGTTGCACAAAAGTGAAAGAGAAGTGGATAAAAACGAAAAAAATAGAAAAAAAAAAAAAAAACAAAAGGCAGGCAGCAACAAAAGTAACAGAAAACCAACAACGCAAAATACTTGATACATTGAAAACTATATGTCTAAACGGATTATATACCTTCAATAAACACCGGTGCTTCTTGAAAGTGAAGAAGAATGAAATCAGTCAGCAATATCAACCATCTGATTACAAAGACAAAATCTGCAGGATCACAAAAAGAGAATTTAAATGTAGAATTTATCTGTAAATAAAAAACTCCAAAAAGAAAAACAATGAATAAAAAAAATGAGGTACATCAAGAAAAGAAACCTTACCAAGCTCAAAGTCCTAATCTAAATTAGAGAACACTAACCCAAAAGACAAAGTACTACACATTTCTTAGGAAATTACTTTGTGGTGGAGGCTATATATATAAATGATAATTTCAGTAACTTGTTGCTGAACCTCAGTTTATCAAAACATAATAAAGTAAAGCACATAGAAAAGGCATCGTTACATTTTCCTAACTATAAAGTACCTGAGCATTTTTTTACTCACACCAGGGACATCACAAAGTAAAGGAACTAATAGCCCAACTAATTGGTTAACGTCTTGTAAACCTTCCACTTGTTGTTTATATGAGATATGGCTGCAACAAAAAAATATATAGTTAAAATAAATTCAACCAATATGGCATGGAAACCATGGGAATTAGTCATATGAACCGAGTCAATTGACCGAAAAACACAACACAAAACACATCAAACCACCAAGAAAACAGAACAAATTGATGTCCAAAGTCTAGGGTAAACAACACACACAGAGACTTAAAAATTAACAGAAAAAAATAGTGACAATTTATCAAAAATACACCCAAAGGGTAGTGAAATGAGATACAAATTATGCTAAAATAACATGAATAAATAGAGGACAAATTAGCAACTCACCCCCATTGAAATCAATCGAATTATGCAAGCATTCATAAAATAACATGAATAAATAAAGGACAAATTAACAACTCATCCCATTGAAATCAATCGAACACCGTAATCTTCAACTAACATAACAAACAGTGAAAATTCAGAAAAAGCAAACATGCAAGAATAAAAATTAAATAAAACCAAACACCAAATCAATACAAACCTCAAATTTATTTTATTTTCTTTTCCTCCAATCAGACACCAAAATCCAAATAAATCTGGCCCCAGATAAGCTCCAATTTCTCACCATCCCAGGTATACTCAAAGAATCCACCTCCATCCATTACATAAAAATTCAAAAATTCAAAAAAAAAAAAAAAAAAAAAAAAAAAAAGAGGGAAAGGTGTACCTCATGCTGCTGCTCTTGACAAGCCAGAAAAATTAGATCACCCTAAATACCAAGCAATTCAATAATCACCAAAGAGAAATCCACCATGCATGAAATGAAAAAATTAAATAAAAAAATACCAAAAAACGAAAAGGGTACCTTATACTTCCAGTTCCAGTCCTGAAGAGCCAATTTTGGGATTTTTTTTTTTTTTTTTTTAGAGAAAGTGGAATTAGACATAGTGGAATGAGAGGGAGAAACCCCAGTTGCCCAGATTTTTCTTTCCCTTCCAGATGACCAGCGCGTACAGAAACCCCAAGAGAGCACCACAACTGGCACACAAATAAGATGTAGCATGGTATCTTTCTCCAGTTGGTGGGAGCTTTAACTTGATGTAGTGTGCAATCAAAGTAAAGGACCAATTGACAGAGACAAGAAGAAACCCAAGTTCGAAACGGAGCAAAATGTTGTGTGAGAGAAAGAAACACGGAAGAAAATGTGGAGAAGAAGTGAAGGCAGTGATGATAGACGCATAGCCAATAGGGGCAAAAACAACTTTCCACTGCAGAAAAAGAGGAAACAGAATGGCAAGCAAAGAGAAACTAAGGGCAAATTTGTCCACACACTATATATAATTTCCATGTTTTTGTCAAATTATGTTTTTCATTTTCATTATTTGTTGACTTAAAATATATTTTCTTTAACAGATAACCGGTCGGTTATATTACCTAATAATATTAAAGGGTCAATTTCGAGTCGGGTCATATTACCCGTTTACTTTAACAGGTGTTAAACGATATGACCCATTAAGATATTAGATATGTCATGAAAACGACACGAGCACAGAAAACATGACACGAATATCAGGTCTAAGAATGGAGTCAGAGAGAGGGGTGGAGACCAAAAACAGGGAAGGGAAAGGTTGGTGGGGGTGCTGGGCGAGAAAGAAGATCCAAAGTAGGCCTACCCGATGAATAACTTGCCTCGGTTGTTGAGTTTGCTTAATTGTGGCCACAGCAGGATAAAAATTTTTATAATCTTTTCGAACCTGAAATAGATAGATAATCGTGACTTGCCACCAATCTTCCTCATTTTGGAAATAAAATAAAATAAAATTGAAGAACTCGGCCCCAATGATGTTTTAAGTTGCAACGCAAAAGTTTTGTCGTAGTAAATAATCCACCCAGCCAGCTTCCTCCTCCTCCTACCTTCCACCACTTCCCCAAACAAGATAAACAAATAACTAAATTGTTATTTTATTTCTTATTCCCATTAATTTAACAAAATAGTCTGCCTTTGTTTCTTGTTCAACCAAGTTCCCCTTCCATAGCTGCTGGAGACATACATTTCCAAAGCTCTGCAACTCCCCCACTTTCCATGTCCATGGCCTCTTCCACGATCCTTCTCCTCTCTCCCTTTCTCCCTTCATCTGCTCCTCCTCTCCTCCCTCACTTTCTCTACTCTCCCTTGTACCCACCAAGGCAATCGCAGAGTTCTCTCTCCTCAACCTTCCCCTAAAACTCTCCTTCCCCAGCAACTTCTACTACTTTTTGTTCAATCAAATCCCTTTTTCTCAGCTGAAGTTTCTGTTTTGGTCCAAATTACAGATGCCCATTTCAAATTTGCTCCAACTCTCTTGGAAAAAGCAGTCAAGGCAATGTCTTTGTGCCCCCTTGGGCTTCCAAGCTGATACCTAGTTGTATTGAGTATTGGGTGTTCTGATCTGCCCTTGGAGGTTCAAAAACACAGGTTTTTTCATATACCAGTTCTTTTTTTGTTGGTGTTCTTCAAAGTCTGAACTGAAAATTTCATGGTAGAGTTACTTAGTGATCAAATTCTGCCTTGTTTGAATAGAATATACCCTCCTGATTCTGCTGGGTTTCCGTTTCAGAAAATTCTTGAACAAATTGGGTTTGCTGTTTGAACCTTTTGCTACTTATTTGGGGGAGTTTTCAGCTGCAAAGTCAGGGCTTTTGATCTGGTTAGGTTGACAAACCCTAAGATTTCTTATTCTGGTCAGTTTTGTGATATACCAGTTTTTCTTTTTTGTAGAGTGGTTCCAACTTGGGCAAGATATATTTTGTTTATTCTTAGGATTAAGGTAATAAATAATTTCAAGATTGTAGCTTTTGGCCTGAAAATTACTCCATTGTTACTTTTTAGGCAGTTTAGTGGTTAAGGGTTTGACCCCTTTTGCCATCTTACATTTTGGGGCATCATCTGCTACGTAATTAGACCTTGAAGTAGGTTTCTGGTGTTTCGTTAACCCCTCTTTGTGCGTCTATCAAAATGCCTGGAGATGGTCACTTTTTCGTGGAGTGGAAAGAGCACTTTGTTTCGCAGGAGAGGGGCAACCGTGTGGTTCACTATTTCTTAAAGGATTCTTCCGGAGAATCCATTCTTGCAGTTGTGGGTACTGAGAGGAGTGTTAGGCACATGTTCTATGTTGTTTCTGAGGAGTTTTTGCAAGCGCACGGAAACGAGAGCTCTAATAGTGCTAACTATAAATGGAGGTCAAGAAGGGAAGTTGTGGATTGGCTTACATCTATGCTGTCAAAGCAGCATGTACGTGGAGATCTGTCCGGTATGTGTTGCTACTTTGTAATTTCTAGTTCCTTATATAGTCTATAAACTGTGCGCTTATGTATGCCATTAAAAACTTTTGTAAGGCAAGGATTTTAACTTCCCCTACGCCTCAGCAGCAGTTTCTAGTTTAAGTGACTGGTAAAAGAATATTAAATAAATTTTACCACGTATGAATATCTGCATGAAGTTGGTTAATAAGAAATCCCCTAATAGCTTATTCTCTTTACCTGTATTCGCAAGAAATGAGGGATTTGTATAACTGGAATATTATGATTTTAACACACATTTTTATGATAGAATCACCCCAACATGATTCGTCACAAACTTTGTGGAGTCCGGAACTTCCAATGAAAGGAGTTAGTGGTCACCAGGTACCCAATAACTCGGTATCTTTTTGTTGTGTTCCTTATGAGTATTGATTTGTCCTTGTGATGCTTTCAAGTTTTGCGTACAATACTGACTCCATAACCTGTTTATCAGGGCCGTCTTTCAATGACCTTGAAGGGACGCAATCCGGCCATTGTCTGGTCAGGTGTTGCATGGACATGTGGTAAACAGCTCAAGCATTTCCCTGCATTCTGTAGGGACGGAACTACAATAGCGGTAAGGATTTAACCGTCAAAGTGTGCAACTGTACAAGGCATAGCTATCCATGCTTGAACTCTCAAACTTACATAGAAGTCACATTTAATTTGCAGAGCAATATTATGCAAGAAATGCTGTAGTGAAAACTAACTACTCCGGGAATAATTTCTCTGACCTTATGTATCGACAGATGATTAATGTTGCCATTAATATGAACTAAGATAAATACATCCCTACATGGGTACTTGAGAAGTAATGAATCATTTGTTTCAAGTTTCAAAGCTTATATAGAAGATAAAGAAAATATTTGTCTTTATTTGTTACATTGAACTATGGTTGCTTTCATTAATAACGCTTGAGAATATGTCACAATTATGTGATAGTGACACTAGTATCCTCATGATGTTACATGTCTCATATGCTTCATGGCCTGGGAAATTTACACTTCATTCAAGTACGATATATTATTGCATGAACTTCGGGAGATTTAGTTGAAAGACTAGTCGCCAAGGTATTTTGTTGAACATTGCCTTGATGTGTACATCTTGGTCAGGTCAAATCACTAATAACGACTTACATTCTGTCGACGATGGAATTGACATGCTAGTCTGATTTTTGCTGTCAGCTGCAATACTTTTTCTCTGATTGTTTTGCTTTTCCCTTTGCATCCAGATTAAGTCCTTTGTCTTTGTCATGGCAAAGGGAGAAAATCACTATGTTGCTTATATGGAGGATATGTACGAAGACAAGAGGGGTCAGAAAAAGGTCAAAGTGAGGTGGTTTCACCGTAATCAGGAAGTCAAGGGGTTAACTCCTGTAAGAAATCCTCACCCAAAGGAAGTTTTCATCACACCATATGTGCAGGTCATTAGTGCAGAATGTGTTGATGGTCCTGCAACAGTCTTAACTTGTGAACATTATGAAAAATGTGTAGCTGTGTTTCCTCAGGCTTTATTGGCCAAAGTACATCTATGCTATAGGCAGTTTAGAAGTAACAAGGTGAAGCCATTTGATTTGAGTAAAATGCATGGCTATTTTGATCAGCCAATTCTCTCTTGTTTGGGTCTCGAAGTTTCCGAAAAATCCGAGTTTACAAGTGATAGGTTGATTGGGGAAGAAGATGAATTGGGTCCAAGTGACTATGTAAAGCAAGGATCTAAGAGGACTAGAAGTGGAAGGCCATGTCAGAGGTTTTCAACTGGTCGTTCAAGAGCAAGAAGTTCTACAAGAGATAACCAGATGATGACATATAGACCTCAGAACCCAAACTATGGTTTACTAGACAAGCGGTTGTTATCCATGAAACTTGTTGATTGTCAGCCTTGGTATACTCCACTATTTAAGGTTGACGAAAAGATAGAATTGCTTTGCCAAGATAGTGGCATTCGAGGCTGCTGGTTTAGGTGTACAGTCTTGCAGATAACACGAAAACAGATGAAAGTTCAATACGATGATTTGCAAGACGAGGAAGGAAGTGGCAATCTTGAGGTATCTTTAGCCACTACTACACTTTCTTTGTTTATTGTTTGGGTAACTGGGTTGAACTCTAAGTTGTGCAAAACACGGTGACATCATGTCTGATTTATTTACTTGAGTTAGGTACACAAGATTTCCATCCAACATTCTGTTTTAATCAACTATTCATTGTGATTCCAATTCAAAATACATGTTCCCTCTTCTTTATTTGGTGCTTTCCTGCATTCTGAGATGCAGTCTAGCATGTTTAGATTTTAAGGTTGCGTGTATCTCTCTTTCTACATTGTCAACTCTTGAGCATCTCCTTATTTGAACTCTGAACTCTTACCCTGAAATGCAAGTTAACCTTCACTATTTTATGATGGTGTGTCCTGGACACTACCGGTTTCACTGGCCCTCAGATTACCCCTTGCTAGCTGTTGACACCATTCAGTTCTATGTGATTTGAACCTTTTTGATCTGGTCAGTTTTCATGTAAGCTCGGTGTTCTCAGTTTGTAAATATAGTTTAGAAATATGGTCCTATTTTTGGGTGTTGCAGGCTTTTCAATGAAAGAGATGCAGGAAGATTTTCTTCTTCATTTCCTGTATGCATTGACTAGATTGGCACATGAGCTCCTGTGCTCTCTTGAGTGATTATTCTGTGTTTTCTTGATTTCTTTTGGGTTCTGAACTGTAATCCGAAGGCATGACCCTCACTCTCCCAACTTGTAGGAATGGATCCCAGCTTTTAGATTGGCTCTGCCTGATAAACTTGGCATAAGGCGTCTAGGCCGCCCAATGGTCCGGCCAGCCCCTCCTAAGGAACAAATGGACCTTGCCCTTGAGGTTGGGGTTGCAGTTGATGCATGGTGGAGCGATGGCTGGTGGGAAGGGATTATAGCTCAAGTTGGCAGCTGTGGT